TATATATTTGTAACTGTCTCCCTTTAACTACACAAGCTGTTGGGGCTTCATAAATCCTGTATAATTAAATACAAATAATAGTAATACAATTTGTGCGTGTGTGTATATAAATATAACATAAATTGACAGCTGTGTTTTAAACTTTATGGGTGTTCACTATAAAAAGGAGCACATAAATTGGCTATATCACAGTTAGTGACCATACATCATTTGTAATATTTATACATAAGATGTCATATATATCAATATTATTTATATTAATTACAGTCTCTCCTTGCAATATGTAATGCAAGGCATAATGCAGAGGACTGGTGATATTTCATCAAACATAGAATATCCCATGAGATTTTTTTTTTTTTATTCAATGGGAATTATCATAATTAGTGCAGGTTGTGGCTGTAAAGGTGTGTTGGTTCCAGATCGTTAAATTGCTATGTGGCAGCGTTTTATGGCCGGATTTGGCAGCCGGCAGTGATCAAGTGTAGGAAGCAGATCGGGATTAGGAGGAATGATTCTCTGGGAGATGAAAATGACAGGCTGAGCAGCTTGTTGTGGGTGTTCCAGCATGAGTTCTACATTTTATTGCGCACAAGGGATCAGGAAGGCTAAACAGCAGGACAGGACTGTGCAAAGACAGGCACTCTTTATGTGCCGTGCTAGCCTGGCTGTGGACCGATTCCCCCTCACACCTGTTGCTGCATCACAGCACGAGTTCATATGTATCATGAGATGCTCAGAAAAATAAGCAGAACTTCATACTGAACATGATCCCAATGCACATTACCTAATCTAAGTTCATTTCATTATGTAGTTACATGTAATAGATCACTGTGCTCCATAATGTGTGGAGCTGTATGAAATATATTCATTTTAAAAGGAAAGGTAATCCAAGATTACCATCCACAATGCTGCATGATCTCAGTGTGCTAAGTTATTGCCAAGAGCCTGGTGTTATGCTGCCATAAGATAGATCTCAGTGTGCCTATTACCTCAAACCATGACTGGGCATCCTCCTCAGCAGTCACTTATGATGGTAAAGCATAGCCAGATAGCTTGGCTCATTCCTGGTGGAATGATGAAGATGCTCAATCTCTGCACGTTAGTCAGGGAGCCCAATGAGAATCCTACGTTTTTGTGTTGCTTGGAATCCGGTGCTGTGCTAGCAATGGACATCAATCTTAATGTCCTTATTACTTGGAGCTTGGTGATATGCTGCCATAAGACATTAAACCCTGTGTGCTTGTTACCTAGTACTTTTGCTGCCATTATGCATAGATCTCAGTGTGCTTATTGTCTAGAGCCGGGTGCTATACTACTATTATGCATAGATCTCAGCGTGCTTGTTACCTGGTACTTTGCTGCCATAATTCATGGATCTCAGTGTACTTATTGACTAGAATCTGGTGATATGGTACCATTAGACATAGATCTCAGAGTGCTTGTTACCTAGCACTTTGCTGCCATAATGCATAGATCTCAGTGTGCTAAGTTATTGCCAAGAGCCTGGTGTTATGCTGCTATAAGACAGATCTCAATGTGCTTATTACCTAGATCCACGTGTTCTACTGCCATAAGATATAGATCTTGGTGTGCTTATTACTCAGAACCTGGTGCTATGCTGCTATAAAACATGTATTTGATTGTGCTTCCTACTCACAATCCTGCAGACTCCACATGTAAATAGATGTTTAAGGCTGTATCATTACATCTGTGGGATAACATGTATAGTCCTGCCTGCTCCTATTATTATGATAGGAATGCATTACATTGCATTGCACAACAGACAGCTGGAGTTACATGATGTCCTGACGTAGCAATACCAATTTGAGTCTTAAATAAAACTCAATCAGAAAACAGAGTTATGTTTCTAGGTAGATCTGTGATACCCCCAATGTAGAAAGCAGGGACACACAGATATTCTTGAAGGTCTGAATGTTTATGTTAATGTCTCATTACACTATTATTAAATGCTTTCCAGTCTATTAAACAAGAACCATGTGTTTCCAATATCACCAATGAACCAAAGTCTCTACTTGCTTGCAGGGTTAAGCAGCACTTATTCAGACGAGTCTTCACCATCTGAAACATCAGCCTCTCCTCACGTCTCTGGCACCTCCTTGCGGCCACGCAGATTTAAACGTTGTTCTTGTTCATCCCTCATGGATAAAGAATGTGTGTACTTCTGTCATCTAGACATCATTTGGATCAACACTCCAGAGTAAGTATCAAGCCCCTAGATTGTTTGGTTGAACACATTCTTCAAGATTTATCTTATACAGACAAGCCTTTTTATATAATTAATCTCATTCTTTCCACAAAATGTGATTGTTAATGTTTGTCTGTGTATATTAAAATTCCACATCAGCGAGCCATGTATATATTATGAGGTACCCTAATTTAATGAGATGTTAGAGAGATTGCACAATTCTTTGCCATAAAACCTGACTTTGGAGGAGAATTGACAGCAGCTAATGGCCAATTGGCACACCCAGCCTTTCCAATTTGTGTGCTTTCTCTATATTGTATAAATGCTTGTTTGGGATAGTCTCTGATTACTGGTTGCTACCTCTGTGACCATCCCAGTATTTCATAATTTCCAGACACTTTTAGTTCAAATATACATAGCAATAAAATTATACTGTAGTAGTAAAACATTAAGGACTTAAGTGGAATTTAATGAATTGATCTGGGCCACAGCATTTACGACAAAAGCTGAAATTCCCAAGGAAAACAAACTCTGGATTTTGAACATGCATCAAACTATTAACGTAACCAGAAAGATTAAAAAGGTTATTGGACAAATATAAGGAAGATGTCAGCTAATGAAAGCAGAGCACATGCAGTAGTCTTGGGGACTTATGAAAAGTCTAGCCCATACAGCCAATCAAACTTCATTTTTTTCAGCTCAGGTTAAGAAGGAAGGTATGACCTGGTTGGTTGCTATCAGCAACAGTTCTCTCTTGTTTGCTAGTCAGATGAAGTTGCCTCTCTGTGCTTTGTGATCTAAATTCTTAGTTCCTCAGTTGGTTAACATAATAATAGAATTGGCCTGTTTTGTATCTGTTGACACATAACTGGAGAGCTTTAAGTATGTATAATGCACTAATTACTCAGAACTCATATTATGATAAGCTGTAAATGTTTGCCTTACTTTTTACCTCTTAGGCATTTACAGCAAAATACTCCTAAACTGTGATTTTAACAACCATTAACAAGCTATTAATTGAAATACAGGTTGCAACCTGTACAACTTGATGGTATGCCACTGTGAAACCAAATCTTGCAATTTGTGGAATTGTATGCCATTAAATCAGCTGAAAATTAAGATCTTTTGTGCAAAGGTTACTACTGCAGTGCATTGTGTGGGAAGTTTTCATATGCTGACATTTTCTTGGTTGGACACCGAATACTGCACGCTAAATTCTTTCTTTCTTTTTTAAATCTACCATTGCACCATCTTCACCATGTGGTAATGTATACTGGTATTATTTTACAGCATTATAGACTAAGCTTCTATTTCTTTTTTTTCTTGCAGGAAAACGGTGCCTTATGGTCTCGGCGGGCCCCGCTTGAAACGTTCATTGCAAGACACAAAGACGGAGTCTACAGACAGGTGTATCTGTGCCAAGCGTGAGGACAAGAAATGCCTGGATTTCTGCCAAGCCTCGGCAGAGCTCAGGTGTGTGCAAATATTTTCAGTATGTAGGACTGACAAAGCTAACTCTGAGTACACTTGTAGCAGAGGCTGCCTTTATCTGCAAAGCATGTGTTGTGAAAAGGAGTTCCTTGGTTTGTGCCTTACAATGATTTGTTTTCTTACAGTGTGCAGCCTTCACTGAAAAAAGAAAGACGCCAGAATCAGGAGGCCAAAGTTTGCAGCGGCCTCGAGATGGGATCACTCTGTGTTGAAAAGCACCTTCATAGTAACACAGAAAGGTGAGAGAAAGCCCGTTTTATTAAACTGATCTCTACGCTACAAAATCACTGTCTTTTGCTGCGTCTTTATCATAAAAATAACCGATAGACAAAACAAGTATTTATAATTTGGTAGGTGATCAGTTCAAGTTTTATTTCAAAGTATAATATCACGTGAAAAAAGCCAAAATAGCTCTTCCAGATAGCTTAGGTGCATATTTGTGCTCTGGGAATGCGTTTGTTGTTTGACGTTTCTAGGTGTGGTGACGAGAAACACCTATTATGCGTGCTTGATACATCTGTCTAAACTTAAGTTCTCAGTCAACAGACTTCATTCATGTGTTAGTTTGACATTTTTTTCACAGGAAAATATTTAGAACCCACAGCTAAGGGGGAACAAGTGAGCTATGAGGATAAGGTCACCTATGCTGCATGTTTGAAGTAAAAATAATATGATACAAGCAAAAGATTGTGGGTCAAGAGTCTAGTAGTTTTTAGGAGTCCTCCTTGGTGGAGATCTTCTTTTGGGTTTGCTCGCTGAAAATTACTTATTTTCTTGAAACGGCTCACTGCCACACAGAATAAGCTGACACTGGCAGACTGTTCTGTCTTCTTGAATAGGTGTGATATGTTGACCAATCATATTGGCTCTCCCAATATGGAGCCGTTCTGTTTTACACGCCTTCAGTTCTGACAGTGTGCTCTCACCTACCTGTAGTGATCACGATCTTGGAGAATATTTGGATGAACAATTTTCTTAAAAAATATATCATTTCTTTTGAAATAATACATATTGATAACATTTGTGTTTTTATATAAATGATTGATTACATCATAACTTACAGACTGATTTGCTTTCACAGAATGAATGACATTACAAGGTCCATCAAGAGGTCATTTGCTATTGCCAGACTACTGAAGAAACTCAATGTAATGAAAGGAGTAAAACATCCTTGGACACAGAGGAAGAGAGGACTTTGGAAACATATAAAAACAACATCATAGTTACAAGCTAGCACCTATTTTTTTTCTTTAAAGTGTGGAAGATATTGCTGTCAGTGAGTTACTGAGTGTACCTTACTCCTTCTCCTTGATGGCTCTTTGCACTTCAAAAAGTATGAAGACTGAATCTGGAGACGTGGGACTATAGTAAAACATCAGAAATGGCACTCATGGTCGCTTAATACAAGAGGCCATGTCTGCTATTGGAGAAGAATGCTATGGAAACAAGTGGAAACAGAATACTGGAACCAAAATGTTGGGATATCTGCCAAGCATTTCTACTGACCGTAAAACACTGGAACACAATATGCAAAAGCACGTGCCTTATTATACAATGAGATGCTGCATATGGAGGTGTATGTGCATTGTAAATGGACATCTATGCCATTCTTGGAGACAAATCACATACAAACATGACTACCTCAGGTTTACTCCTCTGAAGGGCTATCCTCCTGCCTATACTTTAGCTTGCCCTGTGAAAACTTTTGCCTGGAACTCTGGACTGGAGCTAATCAAATCTTTGATACATAGATCCCGGATTTGTTTAGTGACTGGTTGGTGTGGTCTTAGAGAGCAGTTCAATATTTTTTCTTCATGTTAACTACTCTCACAAGCTAAAACTGGGTCGTAAATAGCAGTGGAGTTATCTGCTATCTCTTTATCTAATTTTATTATGTGAATATTTTTTAAATAAATATTTATATTATTTTTAAACTGACTATATTTACTGTGTTAAATATCCATTGGAATAGGCCATATTGGTCTATGCATGTTTGTATTTCTGTATGAAAAAACCTTCGTTCCTTCAGTAATAATGTTAAAATAAATATTTTGTAACCCTTATACAGTGCTTCTGATTAGTTTTTTCTGCGTTGACTTTAAATTGTTTTAACATATATTAATTCCTTTGTACAGTAGGTTGTGACTGTTGTTGTAGAGATCAGATATTCCATAGAACAGGATGTATGACTTAAAATGCCATTAGGGCAATATTTCATGAACAAAGAATGCAGTGTAGTTGTTTTCTGTCACGTCCTCAACCTGTAATATAGACCTCTACAGTAGCTCAAGCTACTTTCAGAAAACCTGCTAATTTGAGAATGTAGCTATTTTACAATTTGTCACCACCATCATTTTAAAGCAAATCCAATTCTAACCAAAACCTTTTAGTTTTAGACAATGTGTGGAAGGGCTAGAGCCCCCCGTCCCATGTTTATATGTGGCTTATCTTCCCATTTGGGGGATTCTTTCCTCCCTTCCTGTCAGGACAGGAAATAGGTACAATCTCTTTTAAAAAGAGCCCCAAAAAGCTTTTAGTCTTCCAGTTTTACTGATTTTCTATAACTCAAACTGTAGAGTACTATACAATTATACCATATACATAACATTGAAATTGTATAATGTGAAGTATGATACAAAAAGTATACTTGGGAACTGCGTAAAATATGTGGGGCATAGCAAATATACTAAGTTTACGTTGTTAGGAAATGCACAGAGGGTACTATAGCTCTGACTATCTGATGTGTGGGATGTGGCACACTAAATGTGGAAGACATAAACTAATTTTTGTGATTGTGTAGACACTAAAAGATGCACTGAAAAACATTAACATTGCACATTTAAAATACTGAGCAAAAAGAAATTGAAGATATAAGAAGTGAGTACACCCCTCACATTTTTGTAAATATTTTATTATATAATTTCATGTGACGACACAGAAGAAATTACCCTTTGCTACTATGTAAATGGTGAGTATACAGCTTGTATATCAGTGTACATTTGCTGTCCCCTCAAAATAACTCAACACACAGCCATTAATGTCTGAACCGCTGGCAACAAAAGTGAGTACACCCCTAAGTGAAAATGTCCAAATTGGGCCCAAAGTGTCAATATTTTGTGTGGCCACCATTATTTTCCAGCACTGCCTTAACCCTCTTGGGCATGGAGTTCACCAGAGCTTCACAGGTTGCCACTGGAGTCCTCTTCCACTCCTCCATGACGCCATCATGGAGCTGGTGGATCTTAGAGACCTTGCGCTCCTCCACCTTCCGTTTGATGATGCCCCACAGATGCTCAATAGGGTTTAGGTCTGGAGACATGTTTGGCCAGTCCATCACCTTTACCCTCAGCTTCTTTAGCAAGGCAGTGGTCGTCTTGGAGGTGTGTTTGGGGTCGTTATCATGGTGGAATACTGCCCTGCGGCCCAGTCTCCGAAGGGAGGGGATCATGCTCTGTTTCAGTATGTCACAGTACATGTTGGCATTCATGGTTCCCTCAATGAACTGTAGCTCCCCAGTGCCGGGAAACACTCATGCAGCCCAGACCATGACACTCCCACCACTATGCTTGACTGTAGGCAAGATACACTTGTCCTTGTACACCATCTGAACCACATAAGTTTATCTTGGTCTCATCGGACCACAGGACATGGTTCCAGTAATCCAGTTTGTGGGCTTTCTTGTGCATCATCTTTAGAAGAGGCTGCCTTCTGGGACAACAGCCATGCAGACCAATTTGATGCAGTGTGCGGCGTATGGTCTGAGCACTGACAGGCTGACCCCCCACCCCTTCAACCTCTGCAGCAATGCTGGCAGCACTCATACGTCTATTTCCCAAAGACAATCTCTGGATATGACGCTGAGCGTGTACACTCAACTTCTTTGGTCGACCATGGCGAGGCCTGTTCTGAGTGGAACTTTAAACCGCTGTATGGTCTTGGCCACCGTGCTGCAGCTCAGCTTCAGGGTCTTGGCAATCTTCTTATAGCCTAGGCCATCTTTATGTAGAGCAACAATTCTTTTTTTCAGATCCTCAGAGTTCTTTGCCACGAGGTGCCTTGTTGAACTTCCAGTGACCAGTATGAGAGAGTGAGAGCGATAACACCAAATTTAACACACCTGCTCCCCATTGAATATATATATATATTAGGCTTGAAAGTATTTTTATGACCAAAAAAATATCAATATTATTTAGTGCAAAAGTAATAGTAATCTACAAAGCACATTAACTTGGCAAGCAATCATTTTTAATCGTTCATCTGGCTAAAGCAATCAAAACAAGCATTTAACGAATGACTGATTGTTTGCTGTGGGTTAGTTTTACATTTTACACATTGCACTTTGTATTAAACAGTCTGAACATGAGTATGCATCAGGTACATAAACCAATGCCTATTGAATAAACTTGCAATGATGAACAAAGCACATAATGTGTATTGTCATAATCCCAGAACATTGACAGAACCTGTAAAAACTCCTGATCTGCATACACGTCTTATGCCATAGAAACCACAGGGTCCACAAGAGAGCTATACAGATATCATTTTCAGAAGGAAAGGACAGCCAGTATATTTCTATAAACACAAGTTTGACTAAATGACACAGATGTTTTACAGCTATAGGCATATAATCCAGTATGGTACATTGATGGGAAATACTACATTAATAATGTGTTAGGGATATGAGCTCTTAATTCAAAGAACTATACTAGTTATCAAAGTGTATGGGGAAAAATTTAGGTGTCAAGGTAATTAAAGCACATTTTACTATAAAAATGCAGGTTATGGGTAAAATAAATCACTAGTAAACATAATTAAAGACACATTTAGAGAAACCCCCTCCTAAAATGTGAAAGGGTTAGCTTTTCTATACAGTAAAAACTATTGCACGATACCAACTCTGATGCTATTGAACAGAACGTGGATCACCTACGGGTAAAACGGTTGAACAATGATTAAGGGCACTTTCAAACCATGTCCGTTGAGGTGAATTTTTCTCCACACCTCTGCATATGTATGGTGTGAACAGGGCACATAGAAAACAATTGTTTTCTGTTAATGATAGCACAACACATCCAGTTTTGTATTGTTTATTGGGAGATATACAGTAAGCCATTTGCCTAACATCCAGTTTACATGTTTTTGTGGCTTGTGCACACTGTAATGTTCTCAGCCATATGCCAGCCACCATTACTTTGTACAAATATACAATAACAATTTTCATTGGATTGATGGGTGATCCAGGCACCATATCCTCCATTAAAATGTATGAACAAATACCCGTATGAACAAGAATTTAAAGGTGTCAAACAACAGAAAATATGTACTTAAAATAACTTCTTTTTTTTACAACAATACATTAAAACATATAAGAACATAAAAGATTAGAATTGGTTGTGGCAAAAATCTCATTCATATAATGTCATGTTTACAAAGGGACCTTTGAGGGTCACTCCCAGTATTATCTGCTCAGGTTACATATACATATACTGTATATCTAGACAGAGAAGAACTATACAGCAACCATCATTGGTTCAATTGTTGAGAACTATATCTTCTATTTTGTAGAGATGATTCAAGCAGTAGAGTGGAAGAGGGTACATTCATTGTGATTCTTGGTCAGATTTATCAGGAAGACAAATAAACATAAGTCCAAAATAGTAATAAAAGGAAACATTTGATCAATGTACAAAAACGTTTTTGGAGACACAATTATTTTTCAGAACCGTGTGTGAATGAACATAGCATTCCTAGAACTAAAAAACAGCTGGTGAGAAGACCACAGGGGGAAACACAAGAAACGGCTGAGCCTCAGCTGATATTATCAGTATCATCATCTATAATGTATTATGATATATTAGCCAACAACAAGTTAATAACAATAGTTAAAATATAATAATAAGGCTAATAGGGCTTTACAGTGATCTTCCAGGTCCTGGTGTCCTGATGCCATATAGTAAGTACAAAGTAGCTATGTTTTAATGCTTTGCTGCGAAAAAAGACCAAATCCCAGAGTTAGCCTGGAAATGTCTGTGATCTATACGCTTGTATAGATTCTGAGCATGTGAAAGCTGTGATACAAGCACCTGCTCCATCTGACATTTAGACCTTGTGTGCTTTCTTTGGTATTGCATGGTATTCCAAATGTATTCCCAATTATGCCTCAGTTATGAAGCCATTGAGAATATTGTGTGGTCAGAAAATCAAATTTTCAAAAAGTACCATGTTTCACTGGCACCAGGGCAAGGTCGCAAATCCTTAACAGCTCTGTGTTTATCTAAGTCCATATTTACATGCAAACATAAAACAAAACAGAGCGCATTGGATAGTGCAGGTAAACACGTTAAGAAATATACAGTAAAATTAGAAAAATGCACTTAGAAATTAAGTGACTTGATCAGAGTATATGTCACCAGGTAAACTCCATCCAAGAAGCACCAAAGTTGAGTTCTTACATGCAACTACTCAAGCATCACCAACTCACCTACCTGGCAGATAAATATGTACTAATCTACATGTTACAGACAAGCTATTGCCACAACTACCAGTTCTTCTGAAATCATCAGTTGCTATAAATCAACAAGATAAAAGTAAGGCATATACTGATCGAAAACGTAATTTTAGAGAAGTACACTTTCAGTCTAGATCTCTAGTTAGAGTAAAGAAACCTGGCTTATCAAAACAAAGACGATCCAAATGTGTCAATCTGCTTAGAGTGTCAAGTGTAAGTAAAAAGATTGTTTTAAAATATGAGGGGAATATGTGTTGTTCATACCTCTGGCCTGTATATGTCACTATTTACAGTTGTTACATGTAAAATACTTTCTATATTCTGTACACGTTAGTTACAGTTCCTGTTTCTGTTATTAGAGACTCATGGATGCCTGCGCTTGTTAATACAGTACTCTACTGTATAAGTACTGTG